CACTGAGTTTTTACAGTAGGGCATAGAAAACCCCGATTATTTCTTTGTAGTAAGTAAAACGTACATTAGCTATTCGAATACGTTGTACCACGCGGCTATCAAGCCCCTCGTAAACTTTCGGGCCGTCTGTTTGACTGTAGGGCGCTGTTCGTCGAATTAAAGTTTGGGGGTGTATTATATGGGACAAAGGGTGTAAGACTACACCCTTTTACGCCCTTTTTTCTTGAGAGTGTAAGCGAACTGACATTTTGACGGCTTGAGTGTAAGTCCAGCATTCTGGATAGCCAATAGCACGGCTCGCAGAAGTTTCAGGTGCTCGTCGAAGTCGCTTGTGAATACCATGACGTGGTCGAGGTAGACGAGACAGTTTTCCCATCTCAAGCCTGAAAGGATGGTATCCATTACGGGCTGGAAGGTCGCCTTTACTGTGCACAGACCAAAAGGTATCACTTTAAATTCGTACAGTCCACCCGGCGTGACGAAGGCAGTCTTCTCACGACCCCGTTCGTCGACCTCGATCTGCCAGTCCCCACTCTTCAGGTCTATCGACGGAAAGAATCGGCCGTGGCGCAGCCAGTCCAGAGTGTCGTAGTTGCGGGGCAGCGGGTAGACGTCTTTTTTTTTTTTTTTGTTGTTACGGCGCTTAGTTGTCGATAGTCCACGCAAAACCTGAGTGTTCCGCCTTTCTTCTTCACCAAGACTACTGGCGAAGCTTACTGACTGATTCAGGGCTGAACGATGTCGTTATCAAGTACTTGCTAAACAAGCTTCTGGATTTCCCTTTCTTTCACGGACACTCTGTACGGCGGCCGATGCAGAGGAAGTGCGTTGTCATCAGTAACTGTTCGATGCTTTGCAACTGTCGGCTACCGCACGTTTGATGACGTGGCGAATGAATTCTTGAGCTCGGCGAGAAGGTCAGTCAGCTGCCATGGGTGGTTGACGGGGGGGGGGGGGGAGGGGGTTGGGTCGATGTCGAGCTCTGAGGATCACGGTGCCTCGCGTTGTGACAAAGGGGAGTTTTAGAGATTCCTTACGATTGCGGCTCCTGTCCTGGAGCTCCTCAATGTTTCCCACGGTGATACCATTTGTAAGATGCTGAGCCTCTTCTCGGAAGTTCGTTACAAGGACAGTGGTGCATCCATCTTGGAGCTTCGCTACGCCTCTGGCGACACCGGTCCCTTCTACTAGGAGCAGTTTAACATTACCTTCCAGCAGGGCGTCTCCGCTGATTGATGTTTAAATTCCGACGGGCACCAGCACACTCGAGCGCGGTGGCAAGTTCACGTGCTCGGACTGTACACGCACTGTGGCTGAGGCGGCCGACGTTGTTTCCTGATCCACAGACGTCATAACAGGTTATACGTGGCAAATGTGCCGAGTATAACGTATCTTGCACAGTCTCGTAGAACAACGAACTTCACCGGGCATGTCTCAGCGTGGATCTCGACGCAAGCGGTGCACCTTCCGACCGGTTTGATGAGGTTCCCGCCGGCAGTTCGTATCTGTCGACCATCCCATGACCTTGTCACTTTCCGAAGGCATTGGGAGAGCCTCCGACTCAGGACGGAGTAGTTTGCTCTGGCGTCGAAGAGAGCCGTCGCGTCGTGGCCGTCGATAACGACGTTTAGGTTATTGTTTACCGTCCCAGAAGTGTTATTTTTTATGTGCGACGTCGTTAGAGGGGGGGTGGGGGTCCTTGGACGTTTTTCAAGGTTCTTTACTTCGGTCGTCTTCGGCAACGCTACCTCCAGGCGTTGCCGCACGTAGTTTTCCCGACGAGATAGGGGGACAGGCTCTCACGGCGCGACCGACGGAAAGGCGATGCGGAACGTCGGGGGGATGGAGAATGGGAACCTCGTGGCGCTGTCGGTGCTGGTGACGGAGGGCGAATGGAGGTATTCCTTGATGTTTCTTGGTCGCTCTCCAAAGCGATGTCGAAAGCCGTTTGGTGCGAATACTCGCAGCCAAGCTGGCGGTACGTCAAGCTGGCGGTACGGGCACCTTCTGTAAACACGGTCAGTCTCCCCGCAGTGGAAGCACACCGGGCGTCCGTCATCCGTGCGCCACACGTCGGTCTTTCAAGGTCCACGCTGCTCTTAGCGCGGAACGTAATGCGGCGAAGAGACGTCTCGTCGGGGTACAGCTGAGTACTGCCGGGTGACAGGAGGCTGCTGGCGACGAACAACTGCGGCGTAAAGGCCCATACACACATTCGCGTTTGAGCGCGGTGCGTTCCGTAGCAGCAAGCGGACGCGTTGCGTTGCGAAGACCGCTTGCGCCAAACTTGTACGCACAGTTGCGTTGAAACGGAGTCAACCGCAGTCAAGAGCCAATAAGAACGCGCTATCGTCGCTAGTGGCTCACCAATAGTAAGCGAAATCCAAGGCAACATGGCGGCGCACGGCGACAGCGTCGAAGCGTTCGATCTGGGGACAATCTCGCCGGCTTCCCCGACGTTTTGTCAAGCTTGAACCATCGCGGCCTTGGAAAATACAGTCCCCACCGCTCCCCAAAACGAAAAAGCAAGCACTGCGACCGGCGAACCGGATACGTCTCGCCGAGTCGGCCGGGTGGGGTGAGCGAACACGTCACCCCCTCTCCTCTTTCGGCTTCTGATTGGTCGAAAGCACCCGAACGCACCGCAACGCTTCGGAAAGTTGAACAAGTTTCTACTCGCTTGCGTCGCGCTACCGAACGTTGCGGGGAGGCGCGCGTTGCTCCGCAAGCGACCGCGCCTGGCCGCAAGGACTCCGCAACGCACCCAAACCCGTTCAAACGCGAATGTGCGTATGGCCCTTAAGTCCAAGCTGGTGGTTCTGGTGCGGCGTCGGCGAGAACGTTTGGCTGGAGCGCTTGCTGGACCTCCTCTCGTACAATCTCGGCGATCGAGAGCGAAGCTGGACGATCGGCGACAAGTACCAGCTTCCTTAGTTCTTCACGGACGATGTCCCGTAAGGTTTCGCTTAACCCTGGGACAATGGAGCTGGTGGCGCAGCATGACGGCGTGTCTGCAGCGACGCCGGGAGCTCGGTGATAGTGGGCGGCTCGTATTTGAAGGGTACGTTCGATGTTGGTGGCTTCCGTGATGAAACTTTCGACGGTGGCAGGCGGGCTCCGCACAAGGCCATCGAGACGTTTTCCTTCACGCCGCGCCTCAAGACCCTCAGCGTTTTTCTCTTCGGGAGCGTTTGGGTCGGCGCGATTCATCAGGTGGAGAACGTCTTCGACGAAGCTTGTTACGCGCTCGGTCGGCCTTTGGGTTCTCGCTCGCAGGAGCTCTTCAGAACGCTGTCGTCGCCGCTGGTTGGGAAGAGTGCGTCGCAGTTCGACCTGGAATTCTTCCCACGACGAAATCGACGTTTTGTGGTTCTCGTACACGGTGCGTGAGGTACCTTCCGGAGCGAAGTAGACATTATGAAGGCACTGCTCCCGTGTCCATTGGTTATGGCGGGCAACTCGTTCGTAATGTTGTCGCCAATCCTCAACGTCCTCTTTGGATCTCCCCGTGGAATGGCGTTGAAGTCCGGGGAGCGACTGGCAGGTTATTCGACGGCACAAGCGACCGGGGTCTGCGACTGGTTGGCCATCGCCGACCTCCTTGTTTGCTTGGTCTTGGGTGGAAAGGGTTCGAATTCCGGGGCTAGACCAAGGTTCCGGTGACTTGATCGAGACTCGGTCTGGTCTTCATTGGATTCTTGGGGGCTTGGGTTCGGACTTGCACTGCGGGACCGCGGAGGGGAGCGCGTCACGGACATGTGGTCCGCCGCACCTCCACCAAAATGTCACGAATGAAGAGTTAATGAAACAAATAATAACTAAGAAAACTAAACGTTTAATGAGTCGAAATTGTGCCCAAACAAAAAAGAAGAAGATAACAATAGAGTGTCACGGACGTCGATTTCAGCGAGACAGCCGAATCGAACGCTGAGGTGAAACTGACTCCGGCTTGCCGCGCGGAGCCCCCTTTGTACACGGGTGGGCTTCCGGAACAATCGGCGCAGAAGGGTCGGCGTGTACAACATTCTAACCTCAAATTAGCAACACGGTTTTCGAATTTACCAGAACATCACGTTAGAGCCCGCAAAAATGCCTCCCGCGGCCTGGAATCGAACCCTGGCGTTCCGCGTGGAAGGCACGCGCGTTAACCGGTAGGCCACGAGCGCGCTGCCAGCTCGGTCAGCTGCGCTCGCGGCAATATAATAAATATTACACGGTGCCGGTTGTCGTCAAAACAATATCTGCGCTACAGATATCATAATTTGTATCGGAGAAATGAGGATGATAGTAAATATAACTTTGCAGCATCGCACATAAATTTTTATAATAACAAAACGTACCTCGCGGTGCGAACCTATTTGTATATTCTGAGGAAAAGTTTCTTTGAACATGCGGCTCTCCTGTTTTTAGTAAGATCACGCATTTACTCCATACTTCACCATGAGAATATTTTTATTTGCGTTTTTTTATATGCGAAGCAGGTTCTTAAAACATTATTAAACAAATATATCAAAGCTTTCTCGAGATGCATTTTGTAAAGATATGATGATTGCCAAAATATTGTAAGTTTTTGCGTGACGATCGTAAAGTGTATTCAGTTGTCTGCACTATATTTGTACTTGAAGAGTATTAACAAACTAAAACAATGAGAAAAAAATGAAACTACAGGAGGGCATATCTTTCAGTACAATTACGTTTGCAAAAGTCAAAGTTAAAAAATAGCACTGCTTGAGGACAATCATGCGAACGATGTCGAGATTATACAACTTATTTTGCATGCGCACTATTATATTAATATTCTGAAAAGCAGCATTGGTTCCAAAATTCAGGCTGGCATCGCTCTTTGACTGGTGAGCTAGTTTTATTTTTATTTGCATTGTTGCTATAGACAGTTTCGACTACCACACGTATGAAAGCTTTAGATAAGAGTTCAGTACTAATACACAAGTTTTGCCATCTCATGCACCACCTGATTTATAATACGATATCTAAATGTTTAGGTCACCCGGTTCGAGACTATTACGACGTGAAAGAAGAAGACAATTCCAATGTGACATCAACAAAAGCGGTGGAAAGCGATTGTGTTGGAAAGTCCAGCAAGAAGGTGAGTTTTTTTTTTTCTTTTATTTCGTGCATATTTTCTTTACTTTTTTTTTCTAAACGTATCATTTATTAGATATTTTAGGTGTATGATCTCGTATACTTAATGCAAAATATGATGTTTAGAGTCTAGCACTCACTTCTGCTATAATTCCTTTATTAAAAAAAAAGAAAAAAAAACACAGATTCAGGACACAGATAATGAGCGGACTTAAATAACGTACGCAGTTTTAGCACACTCGGCGCTAAATTTAGCGCTTCGGTTAGCGCAGGCTGTGCACGAAAGTTTTAGGGTGCTGGTTTTTTTCCCGCAACGAAAAACCCAACGCCACCAAGACACAGTCACAATTGTTTCTTCATACACAAAATGCTGCAACGTGAGAAAAAAAAAAAGTTTTTTGTTTTGGTTCGTAGCAACATTTTAGATTGGTTTTAACAAGAGACTGCGACGCGAGCGGTCGACCGGTCGTATCCGCTTGCGTCGCCTCGGCAATAGTGGTCTCGCTGTACTGACCCTCGCACAACGTACCTTCACCGAGAAATGGTCGCGCGTCGCGAGCATCAAGTTGCCGGTGATCGTTGCCGTACCAATGCAATGTCATTTCGTATTGAAAACCGCAGTCGCGAGGATGCCGCCGACGTCGCCGCACACATGGTCCTGGTTGGAGCCAATTTTTGATTGTGCTCGTCTTGGCTTTAGCAAACTTCTCATCACGAATCCTCCTAGGAGGAGCGCAAACACTATTTGCGTAAGAACTCAATTTCCGAAGAATGCGTCCAATGAAAACGCGCACGCAAAACGCAAAACGCAAAACATAGTTACAATTCGGGGCATGCGCAGTGGCGATGTCGCTATTTGTGGCGTACACAAAGCTTTGGCGTGCGCTCTTCTAAAAGTCCCTACTCTTACTCTCCTTCTCGAACTCGAGATTTTTCCAATATAAATTTTCAGCAGCTCGCTTGTTGCTAAAGACTAACTGCAAAGAAAAAAAAAAAGGTCTTTTTTTTTTAACCAGCCTAATTGGGACAAGCATGTCAGAAAACAAATCCTCCGCGAAAAAAACATTTTATTTTTAGCAATATTTACGCCACAGGACGTAATTTAGTCGGACTCACAACCTCGCCACATTTGAAACTCCTGCTCTTTCGACGCGCGCAGAGTGGCTGGCATACGTCACTTCGTGACGTATAATACCAACGTTTTGGCGCGTTATTTAAAACGGACAAAATACCCGCAAACTAAAATCAGGCCCGCGCAATAAATATTGATGTAAAAAATTTGTTTTTGTAAGAAAAACTGTTTTGTGACACGCTTGCTCCAATTAGGCTGTTTAAAAACACACTTTTTTTCTTTTTAGTTACACTTTAAGTATTTTGTGAATAATTTCTCTTACGTGTTGGAGGTATTTCCAAGTAAATAAACAGAAAAACAAATCGACGGACCGACACACCAACGTACGGACATAGAGATAGATATGGATGTCTCAAAAAGAATACTCATTATATCACTATTTTAGTCAATTTGCGTACGCATAAGATATTAAACATACGTACATATCCACACGGGAAAATCCTGTCTGGGCAGTTTTAGTGGTCCGAGCCCCCTTGCAAACACACAACGGAGACAAAAAACAGAGAAACAAACGTTCAGCCTTTCCACTCTCGTGATGAAGGAAGACCAGCGGAGCTGTACTCGATACACCGCGTGCTGCTTCTTCGTCGTTTTCTGTTTTTTGCGCTGTTTCCTACGATGAATTTTCACCAACGCGCCCAACTATCCATTCTTCTATTATAGCTGGAAAGGTTGCCGCCATCTACGAGCGACGGCGGAAACCATACTGGTTGTGTGCTTGCCGCCGTCGCTTATGGATGGCGATAGCTGTCCAGGTAGGTTTGTTTAGACATACACGGACACGATCCCGGGGAACCTAGCCTTTAACAGTTCCGCTGTAAAAAGAAAAAATTAAAAAAAAACACACACAAAAACATTGAGAGATTTATACATCAAACAGACGTACTCATGAATACACGCATAAATACACACGAATACGCAATGAGGCGATTTCCCTCAGATTGTTTTCAATGTTTTCAATTCGCTGCAGTTTTTGTAGTATGCGAACAATAATGACAAAAATGATGCTGCTCTTTTTATTTAAAGTATAAAGAAAACTTCCGTCAGGAGGAAAACGAAGCAATAAAACAAAACGTTTTTTTAAAAGAAAATAGTTTCGCAGCTCACGTGTGCTGGTGAATAAGAATAATATTTCATTTTCATGAAGCAGGGCGGAACGAAGGGAAAAGTCTCAAAGGAGGCTGACCAGCCCTCGGCCACCAAAAATGGCAGTGCAGAAAAAATGTGCGCGAAATTACTAGACAGTCCTTAATAATTTAAACAGATTGAAACGCAGCCCTAGGAGGCGAGGAATACGAAAAACACAGAGACATAAAGTGCACAAAAGAGTGCACTTTACGTTGAACAAACGAATTTAAAGATTCAATTGAGTGGGGTAGGTGAATCACTGCAACAGATTAAAAAATTCAAAGCTTTGAAGCAGATAGTGTCAATGCACATTTCGTTTTCTAGAAGGTAATTGAGCAGTTTTCGTTTGATATATCGCAACATTTGCGTACCATAGTTAGTAAAAGACTAGACAACCTTCCAACAGAGCCGTATATGTAGAGAGTTTGGTCAATGGGAGGCGCGGGCAGAGCCAGGGCGTGCACCAGACTCAGAAAGAGGGCTTGGCATGCTCTCTCAATCAACCAGAAGCCGAAAAGAATCTCCTAGCGGTGGTAGCGAGAAACAGTTCTGATCGAAGGTCTATGTTCGTATATGGTTTTAATAAGTGCGTAAGAGTGAAGTGTAGTAACTCTTTGTTGTTGAAAATAATTTCCACGTGTTGTTTCGATCATGATCACACAGAAAGATGCAAAAAACGAATGCGCCGCTCAACTCTGTTTTGCGCGGACAGAGTGTGATCGCTCGGACGGCAGATTCCCGGCCCTCGGCGTTTGGCGTACAGATTATGTCGATCGTTCCGCTAGTCGCACTCTTCCACCATCATTTTTGATGAGCGTGATTAAAACATCACGTGTACCGTATTTTCAGTCATCGAGAGTTACTCCAATGAAGTTATCAGGTTTGTTTCTCGCGACCACCGCCAGGGTATTATTTCCGGCTTCTGGTTGGTCACATTCGAATTTCTGAAGACGCCCTGGAACACGCCCAGCCCGCTTTCGGCCAATGGCGCCTCCTCATTTGTCTCCTATACTTCCCAACGAATGGCCAAACTCTCTACATATACGGCTCTGCCGTCCAATACTGCTTGTGTCCAGCTAAGTGACCATGTAGATTTGGTGTCAATGCCGCTAGGGTTGACAGAATTTATTATCTTTGACGAAAATAATCCCTGGAGAAGGGGAACAAGAGGGAGAGAGGACAAACATAAATCTCCAAACAGAGCTAGGTGACTGGAGCGCGCCCGAAAAAATCCGCCTGGTCCGAGTATCGAAAACGGAATGTCTCCATTTCCAGCTGAGCGCTGTACCAGCTGAGCTAACCAAGGGTTAGACGTGCGTATAGCAAACAGGTTTTATCAGCTGCCAGTAGTCTAATACCACCAAGGGCTAAATGCTTGCATTTTAAGGTTATTATTATAATGCAATTAAATGCAAAGGTGCAAGCGTAGTAGTGCTACTCAGTGCACTACTTCGCTTCTCACGCGCTGAAAGTCTTTCTGAAAATGAAACATTTAAGGGTTTTGGACGACGCTCAGCAATTTTATAATTGAACCATATGTCTATTTTCACTAGTTAAAAAGTTGATTAGTGAATATTAATTAATTGGCCGACTTATCGCAAAGACTAGCCACACACATAATGTCCCCCTGGACGTATAACTCACTCGCACAAACCGTGTAAGTGCAGCTTCATGGCTTTTCATTTTCAACAAATCTTCAAGAACAAAAAAACACCCTGTATATAAAAAATGTATAGATATAGAGGTACATACATACATACATATATAGATGCATGGATGCATGCACACATGCATACATGCATACATAGATACATGCATGCATGCACGCATACATGCCTACATACATACAAAAAAAGGGACAAGTGTGTTAATTGTGTTAAATCATTTTCAAGCTTCTGTTCCAGCTTAATGCGCTTAAACACACTAATATCATATAATTATTTTACAACAAACCTTATCAGGTAACTACCTTCTTACAAACACCGTTTTATTTTTTAATCTAACAACATTTTAGGGGAAACACTGCTGAATTTTGTTTTTTTATTCTTTTGAGGAATAAAACAAAGTTCGTCATATAATGCTTTAATTCAGATGCGTGCTCATAGTAGATGCATTAAATTCCTCTGAAATATTACTTTTGTCCACAAGGGGGCAGAAATTCAAGTTTATTTATAAGGTCCGGTACACAAAAAATATTTCGTGCCTAGAACCAGAACGCAGCTGTTCTTGGGGTTTGAATTATTAATATTTAGTATTAAAATATCCCGTATATTTTCTTTTTCTAGAAATATAGCAATGACTGCAGATCCGGTAATCTAAATATCACAATACTTCGCTGAAGGTGAATGTCGCTCAATCTTGAGGATGAAAATCTCATACGAATTTCCACATTACGCTGGGCAAGTTGTTCAACCAAATTGTTTGTGGCCGTCAATGTGCTCAACCGAACAATCCTAATATATATTCGTTAAAAATAAACACAAGGTAACATCAAATTTAAAAAAAAATGTAAGAATTCAATACAAAATCTTTTGCATTATTGTCGTGGTTCAAGTGAGATTAAGTAAATTATTAAAGTAAAGCCTGCATGCAAGTTTGTGCTATTCAGGTAGAATGTACAAAACGGTCACTTGCTGTCCTTGTCTAATTATAAAAGAAAATGTTTACACAACTGTTTAGCAAACTATTTTTACAGCTATCTGACAAACAAGCACACTTAGGTTCTTTCATGTTCACCAACACTCCGCTTACTGGAAACAAAACAAAACTCTATATATTATAGTGTCACCCAAGCATCGCACAATTGTTGGACTTACGTTACATTTCGCGAAAGTTGAACCCCATTCAATATCAAACCGTGCACTGGTTCCAATGTTGGACCTCTATGCAGTCAATATTTAAGCCAGCAAGTGCCTCAAACAAGACTTTATAAGGCACACTCACGCAACCTATCAGATAAGTTTCAAAAAACAATTCCAGCGATTCTTCTCTAGTACACCCTAACCTCACAAATTTGTCTTGTAAGCCAAGAGTGAACAAGGATTTCAATATTTTTCCTAATTTGTACAATTTGAAACGCGAGTTCAGTGGGTTTTTTTCTTGGCTGTGCTTCATTCTATGACCATCCGATCTAGTTAATAACCTTCATTCAAATATATTCCTAATAATTTGATAATAATGGAATATTCCTGCATGGAATGACCTCTAGTTACAGCAGTTTTGCCGTACAATATGAAATATTTTTCAACCTGTTTCTCAAATAGTACTTTGCAAAACAATATCGAAACATTCTAAGCGAAATTACAATAAGACATGAAGAGCTCACTAAACAAAAGGCATGTAACTCAATACTACGTGTGTAGTAGTTTTTTTAAAAATTTAATTAGGATTTGTTTTAGAAATCTTGTACTAATGTAATTGATGGTGCTTAATATTCTTGAAATAAATAGATACCTAAAAAAATTCCGACTTCCTCTTCCAGGTCAAAAATGCCGTCGCCAAGGTCCTAAGCTCAGGCTCGCTAAGTTTAAATATTGGCGGTGACCACACTATGTCTATTGGAACCGTTATTGCTCACGCAATGTCCGTGGATTCTAACATCTCTCTTCTCTGGGTTGACGCCCACGGCGACATTAATACACCTCTCTCCACTTCAAGTGGTAAGATGCATCTCATTATAAGTTAAACAACTGAATTCCTGCAGACTCTTACGTAAAATAATAAGGTTCTTCTTTAGTGCGCATTTGCTACATCATGGTTGTTTCGCATCAAACAAAATAATTAAAAAAAAACGCTTCTGAAACGCCAAACAAGTTTTTTTTTGGAACTTGCGTTGAGTTCCGACGTTAAGTGGCGCAAGCTACCGCCCAATAAAATGCGTATACCAATAGATCTAATATTCCCTCCATAACGCGTGGATTAATGACAGTGCCTGGGCACTGCCCCAAAGGTGACGAGTTTCACAGCATGTCTTTTGTAAAATGACATTATATGCACATAAACCTAAATCAATATATGCATTTCAGACACGTTTTTTTTCCTTTTTCTAACTTTCTTGACTCTGAATATGTACTTAACATTTTGTACCTTCTCCTACGCTGTAGTAGTCTCCTGCAAAACTTTATCGCGTGAACTACTGGCTGTATCAAGGAGCAGCCAGGTTTTTAAATCGACCGCTAAATTCGGTTTCTTAACCTATCGCGTTCCGATTTTGTACAGCGTTGGCCACAGGTGGTGCATTTTTTCTATGAAATTCGCCAAGAGCGAGCTTATCTGAGGAAAATGTAAAAAAAAGAAAAAGGCTTAGCTCCTAAGGAAACGCAGCGAAGCCACCGGTCTTCCAACCATAGGGCGCCCTATGGTTTGAAAACCGGTGGCTTCACTGCGTTTCCATAGGAGTTAAGCCTAAGCTCGCTCTTTGCGAATTTTATAGAAAAAATGCACCACCTGTGCCCAACGCTCTGCAAAATCGAAACGCGATAGGTTCAGAAACCGAATTTAACGGTCGATTTAAAGAGCCTGGCCGCTCCTTGATACACCCAGTATGGTGCATAATTTATTTTGAACTGATATAAAATACAACATGATGTACCTTACAGATCATGAAAGTGTTGTTTCCAAAAAATGTATATGCTTTATTCCCGTTTCCAATATAAGGAAGGATTGCTTTTGGTGTTTTGTTTCTTAATCGGACCGATAATATATCATATTGATTAATATTATTATTAATTTTAATAAAATTTATTGTAACTAATTTTAATCAATTGACAATAATACTTGACCAAACGTTGTTAGAGCACCTTGGGATGGAAATTGGTTATGTTGAAAATCATACTAGGACCTTTCTCAGCCTTCTTGAGTTTTAAAATCTAATATTTTTTATTTAGTTGCCCTATCATTATATTGACATTGGGGGCACACCTCTAAACAAAGTAAAATAAATAAAAAATGCTATTAAACGATACCAAGGGCCCTAATCTGGACACTTGGCGAAAAATACGGCGAAAAATCTGGCGGCTCTGATTGGCCGGCGACAAGGTCAAGTACGGAGTTGGCCAATCACGGCCGCGAGATTTCTCGCCGAATTTTTCGCCAAGTGTCCAGATTAAGGCCTCAAGTGTCTTACCCTTAATCAATTAACACACTAACTTTTTGGCGATCACTTTACTTCTAAGTTATTCGTTACTAGGGCACATACATGGAATGCCTGTAGCATTTCTCCTTCGCGAAATGGAGCCCTTCTTAAGGAAGCCCGAAGGTATGGAATGGATTCAACCTTGGTGAGCCGTTACTTTCATTGTTTACGTTATAGTTCTATTCGGGTAAACTCTTCTGGAAAACCGTAGATTTTATTTATTACTATAATGATTAAATAAGTTTTGTTTGATACATTCCGTCATACACCTTACAAAAGTAGTAAAGAAAAAAGAATTTAAATTTCAATGAGAAGCGATATATAATAAAATGGGTTTAGAGAATCAACAAGAAACAGATTTATAAAACCATTGTCTCAAATCTCCCAATCGTCGAATATTATAAGCTCTCCTCTACGTTCAATTATGGGCTAATATCACTATTTTATCAGGATGATAACACTGCATAGCATTAGCATGTTCTAATCAAAATAATTATACACACTAAATAAAGGCCCATTCACACAGAACCAAGACGCGATTCGAGGGTTGTGATTTTTGCTTTTTTTTTTCTATTAAAAAGTGTTTTTCAGGTAAGACAACGGTGGGGGATGGCGTCCCCGCGCACAATTTATCCGTCGACGCTCGCGCGTGAGCCAGTCTGCAGGAGATTAAACCTGATGTGTCGCCTTAGGTTAGGGCTTGTTTTGCTCTTTTGTTATTTTCGATGCACAAGCAACGCGTAAAGGCGCAGCTTTCGAGGGATCTGTTCCAATCCAAACTTGCTTGGTAGGATTTCGATGTCAAGAGTGCGTGCGATGCTTGACCTGTGCGACGCCGTGCAGCAATCATTCATTATTCACGCGAAAGCCGCCATCCAACCACAACCTTGGCAGCGTGTGCCTGCAGTACAGCCATCACCCCGAACGTGACTTGTGCATGCTTTGTTTGCGCTAATGACTACGGAATATAACCGTTCCCCTTCAAAAACGGTATCACACAAGCTGTGTGCAGCGCCATCAAAGGTAAAGAAGTGCTGGCGTTTCTCCGCGCTACGCGTTTTTGCGCATTATTTTGCACAATAACACGGGTATAAAGTTGACCTTATATACCGTCTAAGGCTGGTCGCCCGAGATCATGCCTCCCGCAGCAATGCATACAACTTTAGTTTGATCGTATGTAACTATAATTATCTACGTTAAATCACTAAAAACGGTCATGTCGGTGTGCATGTGTTATCACGAACGATCGCCAAGTAAGGATGCACATAGCGGACGAATAAAAGAATACCCGTGCCCTCTGAACAAACGCGAGATATCCCGAGACTACGCCGACAATGACAGGGTTGGGAGGTCCTGTGTGGCAACCTCTTTTCTCTTTTCTGTGTGAACGCATCTTATGTGTTAAAAGACAACCATCGAGATATCGTCACATAACAAACATGTGAGCACAATACACGTGTCGAAAGCTGAATAGCGGTGTGAAGTGACAAATATGGGTTTGTTAATAGTGACTATGAGGCCTATTCAAGAGATTTTGTAACTGCTCGAATTTAACCATATGCTCATAAACACGAACTTTTAAAATTTTTTTTTCACAATTTTATGAGTAGACAGTGTAAAACACCATAATACGCAAAACGTCACCAATTTACAGCTGAATATTCTTTCAGTGTTCGAAAAGACAATTTCGCCTACATTGCTCTGAGAAACATTGACCCTTACGAAAGGTAATCTAAACTTTGTTTCTTGTCAATATATTGTTTGTAGTTTAAAGGGTTTTACTTCCCTTTAACTCTGTGTGTGTGTGTGTGGGGGGGGGGTAGGGACCGATATACTCAAACAAATAAACTTTTGAGACGGCGCTTTGCGAAAATGGAAGAAAAACGAAAGCTCCATTTAGAGCTAATCTTGAACTTGAAAATCCCCTGCTACATAAAAAAGAAGAACTAACATTTAACCAGTCTTATTTATGTTCCCTCAAAACAGAGCCCGCGCTGAACTGTACGCGAGGCAGATTTTTTTCTCTGGAACCTCACCACTTATACAGCTTCCATCTCTTGTTCCTACCGGGAAGTTTCCCGTGTACTTGGGGCGACCCCGTGTTTCCTAGAGGTCGGGCAATCCTAATCCCGTGTCCTACGTTCTTCGATATGAGCCTCGATAATCCCGGATTTGTTTTCCGACAAAATTATAGACAAAAAAAAACAACACCGAATATAAGGAAAAAATAATGCCGAAATAAACACGCCAGCTCCCCCCCCCCCCCCCCCCCTCGCCAAAATATATGGAAAAAGAAACGCGGCTCCAAGATTAATTATAAAGTAGCACACAAAATGCATTAACCACTCTTGATGCTTTACACTGCTCTCGTGGCTAAATTCCTGCGTCCCCCTAAAATCTAGTACTTTTTTTATTCAAGCTTTTTTCATGTGCGCTAATTGGAAGAAAAAAGGTTTTATTTGGTAAAAATTGACATAGCTGACATATTTCACGCAGTGCATTTACAAACCGCAAGCTTAATTCAAACCTGACATGTGTGCCCTAGTTTCAACACACTTTTCCCAGTTGAACAAGACTTCTGGACGCACCCGAATTATAGCTTACGTATCAGACTGCAATTTACTGGAAGAAGAAAAAATAACCGAACATGAGTGCAAGAAGCTGTATATCAGGAAGAGGATTTTGCGGCAGCGGTCTGTTATCCAGGATTGTCAGTGAGCATCCTGTGGCTCAAATGAATAGCAAGTTATAGGTACATATTTTGTAGATATTTCATGGATAAGCTGGGAATAACACTCTACAGTATGGAAGACGTCGACCGGATCGGCATCACCGAAGTTATTCGACTGGTGCTAAGGCAAATAAACCCTGGGTATGTATACTAGGAGCGACATTTCACTATTTGCAAATTTGATAACTCTACGCTCATTAAATATTCGTCGCTATAAGAATTCCGCAGTAAGTGATAATTGCAAACCACATTCACGGAGGTCTATACTTACCAACGTACTTTAGCGAAATTTTTAACCAAAACTACGCCTGCAGTTAACTCACTGGCAGTGTTCACGTGCGATTTGTATTTTACACACCTGTTACAGGGTATAAACTAGAGTGCATGGGGAGTCCCTAACGTCTTGGTATGACTCTATCACTAGAAACGGTGCGGCATTATTCGAGAATAATACCGAATAAAAATTACAAAGCAGGGAGGGGGAATACTGTTCAAACCTTTCATTGCTTAAGCTCTCGGTAACATAGATGTTTGTATGTTATAAATTATCATCTCTGCGCTATATAATAAATTATGCGAGCATCTAGCAGCCCTTTTAACGTATTTAATGATTTGACAATGATAATGAAATAAAACCAATGAAACCACTACGTTTAACCTCACATAACTATGAACTATACACGATTTTTATTCTATAGAATATTTTTATTATCACCTGCCTTTGCTATGCTCTGTAGATTAAATACTTACCTTAAGCGATCGACGCAGCGTTCATTTATACGCAACAGTAACGCAATTCCTCTCCCGACCATGTCTTCATGACACGTTACTTCATGAAAGTCTTATGATTTTGCTACGGATTTCGAGTAGTTGGAGCGGCTGGACGCTCACAACTTCGGGTGATTTTTACTTCATATATGGGGGGGGGGGGGGGGGGTAGGTTGCGCCATCTATCGTCTTGGACAGCGTTCGATATAGCACAATCATCGGAAAAAGCTGTCTGTGTTGTCATTCCAAATCCGGTATTTAGGTACGTTCAATGAACAGAGTAGAACGTATTCTCTTCGTAAAGTATTAATTTTTACCGTGTGCGGCACGCCGTCAAAACTGAGCAAAGGCAACAAGCTAATCTCGACATAACATTAATACTCAAGGAAGCGTGTGCTTCAGCGTTATGCTCAAATGCTTAATCTAATGCAGTCTTGGGTAGTAACGCGTTACTAGTAACGCGTTACTGTAATTTCGTTATTTTTTTGGTAACTTGTAACTGTAACGAGTTACTTTTTAAAAATGTAACTTGTAACTGTAGTTCTATTACTTTTTTCTGAGGTAACGATGAAAGTAACGACGTTACATTTGTCGTTACTTTCCAGTTTTTCATGTATAATATATCACTGAACGAGTACAATTTAGCCCTTTTTTGCGCTTTCCAAATTGTCTCTTCCGACATTTCGAGTGTCAAGTTATTTTTTGCACAGACTTGTGAATACGTTTTTTCTCGCCAGTCACGACCCGAATATAGCCATGTGTAGGTTCGGTGAAAAAAAAAAGTATTTATCTTTAGCACAGTGCTTGTACTTTGTGACTGAACACTTGCATCTTAGTGTCTTGAAGAACTATCTCTTTTGCGGTTTTTTTTTTCCTGCGCAAACGCTTTTTAATCGGGTGAATCAAACGTGAAACAACAATACACGCGGAGGGCACTGCGAATGTTTTGTATTTTGATTAGCGCCGCCACTCCGCACTGCGCATGTTTCGTATTTTGATATGCGCCATTAATCCGGTGTAGTGTCAACAGTCGAGGCAAAATTTACTGCTGTTTGCGCGGGGTTTGTTTCTGGCTTGCCGGGTACAAGCTGAAATATGTCCAGGGACTGTATGAACCCAGCGCAACCGTCAACGAGCCAGCAATAAGCTAGTGCTACGAAGGATATGAATGTTGATAAGAATAAAGAAAAACTACCATGGCCGGCGTACAGAGAGTATTTTGCTGACGTGGAGGAGGTTACTAACACCTTGACCGCAGAAAACGGCACTCTATTGCCTCACCGCCTACCCGGCAATCAAAAACCTTTTCCGGCGAAACAACACTGCAATCCCATCCAGCGCGTTAGACGAGCGGCTGTTCAACAAGGGCAGGGACCTGTTCGTTATCAAACAAGGGAAACTTTCAGAAACTAATTTCGAGAGTCAACTGCTGCCAACTTACAATACGAAGTAAAAAACACACTTTTTTAATTTTATGCAAATAAACTTGGTGAAAAGCGTTTTCAAGTTTCTCCTAATTATTTTTTGTGTTATAGAAAAAGTAACTGAAAAGTAACGTCGTTACTTTTTAAAAGTAACTGTAACTGTAACGAGTTACTTTTTTGTTGCGGTAACTGTAACGGTAACTTCACTACTTTTTTTCTGAAAGTAACTGTAACTGTAACGAATTACTTTTTAAAAGTAACTTACCCAAGACTGATCTAATGCACACTGCGCGACACTGTTAGCGCGAACACGAGTTTGACGCTTTTTTCGCATCTTACTTTGAAGGAGGAGTGGCTGGCTTCAAAATTTACCATTTAGGTAATACCCCAACTGAGCAACTCCCACCACCATGGCAGTTTGTTTTGCGAATCCTTTAATACTTAAAAAAACGGTGATGGTTTGTCAGCGCTAACTGTGTCGCGGAGTATATAAAACGAAGGAATCAAAATTTTCGAAGTCGGTAGTGTGGGCGAGACGGAAATTGTAACACCAGATTGATGTGCATATCTAGAGGTTTCATTTATATTGATACAACTCGACGTTTGGGACATTGCAATGACTCACAACAAATGAAGCAGAAAAATAATTTTCAAAAAAAGCTTCTCGTAAACGAATGTGTGTCAATGCACAATAATCCGTTATCTTCCTTTTACAGGGGTACCAGATCCGTCCACGTCAGTTTCGACATAGACTCGATCGATAAGCTTATTGTTCCAAGCACCGGAACTCCCGGTAATGTACAGAAAGTTTGCATATATTTCGCCTGTAATTGAAGTGAATAACTTTTTCTTGCTCACAGGCTATCCGGAAACTGCTGAATATTTAAAATGCAACGAAGTTTGAGAACGCTATCCTGAGACTTGTTGGATTTATGGTTCTTAATTTTCGGATTGGTTATTTGGCTTTTTATATTACATTCTGCATAAAAGATGAGAAATATTATTACAGAAATGCATTCCTTATTTTGTAGCCTCTGTTCTGCAGAAGGTTAGCCCAAAAGTGACACGTTAAAACCAAATGAGCGTGAAGCGTTGTAACACCGTTTCACGAATATTGTCACCACAGAAGTGGAACAAGAGGAACAATGGACAAACACAAACAGAATATTTGTATTTTGTCCTTTGTCTATTTTGTCCCCTTCTCCATTGATTTTTTACGTTATTCTTGTCCAGTTCGCTTGAACTTATGCATTTATTGCATTATCATCATAACCGTTTCACTACCACAGGTGATCGTGGCGCAGTCTCAATAATAAGAATGAAAATTCGATTATGTGAGATATATTGTTCAATATTAAAGTAGTGTGCCACAGCTATGCCTGATATTGAATATTTTATAAGCTTATCGGGACGTTCCACTGCAGCACGTTCTACATCAAAACCTTGTAGCATATACACTCCCATTGTTACAGTATTCTTAAAGAATAGTCATACAAATGGCACGCATCTTTTTTCCTCTTAAATTGAAAAGATTGTTGATTATTCAATATTTAATGGTTTTTCAGTAGAAACAGTACGCGCTAAAGCATTACACAATATTGTTCTATACCGATAAGAGTTACGCGGCGTTTCCAATGCATATTGAGTGAGAGCAAACCGCTGTGGTCAGTGTAAGGAGACAAGTCCATGTGGCTCCAACAAAAACTCGAAAGGAAACCCGACCTTTCGAAGCCAACTCGGTTTCTTCTTCAAGGGTGACTGAAAGCAGACGGAACAGCAGCAGCTCCTAACCTGTTCGAATGCCAAATTTGAAGAACAAGAGGAGCTGCTGCTCTTCAGCGTGCTTTCAGTCAACCTTGAAGAAGAAACCGAGTTGGTTTCGAAATGTCGGGTTAGGTGTTTTGGTTGGAGCTACATTGTGGGATTTTAAGTCCGTGTGTAAATTGATCATTGAACCGCAGAGACATATGTCAGACTTTGGCGAAACATAACTTAAGCAAAACGTATATATAATATAAAACGGAACACTAATGTCTCCGACCAAAAGTTTAGAAACAACAGTTCCCAACGTTTCGGGGTCGACTTGACTTCTTTTTCAGGGGTGACCCCGAAACGTCGACCCCGAAACGTTGGGAGCTGTTGTTTCTAAACTTTTGGTTTGAGTTTTCTTTTTCTCGAATTGTTCCCCAAACCAGACAGATTTCTGTCGAAGATGTTTACTTTCAACACTAATGTCTACAATTATTATTTTTATGACTAAAATATGGCGTACATTGTACATTTTTTTTGCAATATTGTAAACATTTCGAATTATATATTAAAAATCAGTTTCTTTCTGGAACCATCAATCAATTTTTTTTATTTTCCTGGATGGTGAGAAGAAACAGTGTTAGTTTTTGGCTGCTGTGTTTGTTTTAAGTGAGGTATTTTGAAGCTTCGAGTTTATGTCGCCTACGTACTGCTCTTTTCAGCGTACATTTGTCACATTTGAGTTTCAGGCTTAGTGACAGACACGGCCTTTGGATTTGACGATCCGTAAATCAGAATAAAGAGTTCACGCAAGCAAGTTCTATCTTAAAAGTGCAGCCGATCTGGTGCCCTTACTATTTCGCATAGAATATGCGTTCAATAACACCAGGAAAGAAAGATAGAAAACGATGTTATTTTCTCATGTCACTTTCGTTGCAGAAATTGGTGGTCTCTCGATGCGAGAAGCGCTGGTTATAGCGGAAGAAGTACACAGATCTGGCAAGTCTTTTCTTTATCTATCCTCCACCCATCTCCTAGATACTACACATAAGCTCTAGTTACGTTGATCAAACAAAACACCGCATCTACGTTTAAGAGTATGGCGGCGAATACGAGAATGCACGCGTCGGAGAAATGGTTGAGTCTTTGTGGTAAATATATCGACATAACTCGTAGCATTTCTGGTGTCAACGTCTAAACAAAAAATGCCCTTTTTTATCTGCCTGTGTGCTTCAAACTCTGTCAAGGAGGCCCCCGGCTTTTATTTGTTTTGAGGTCGCCAACCTATGTATACCACGTACCCAAGGGCAATAGAAACCATGATCTTTTATACGCGCTTTGCCGTTTTTGTGATAATTATGTGATTGATAGAATATAATAGTATATAAATTATATGTATGTTATTGTTTCTCCTAAAATCGTCTGCCATGAGCGCGCACGCTTCTAAGCGTAAACAACGTAAAAAAAAATTGCCTCTATAAACATGAGGATATAACCATTTAACCGTTGGAATATAATGGCGTTCAAATGTGTTCGTGGCATTCTTTAAGAAGCCCTTGAATAAGGCAAACTTACTATGTGTAGCCTACTCCAGCTTCTTTGTTTCTTACACCCCTGTATTTTGTTTGATTGCATGAACGTACAATGGGCTGTATAAACCATAGAGGTTTATACTTAAGTCTATTCGATTCAAACATGTGAACCTTAAAATAATCATTTTTGTATTTGCCCTAAATATCTATGTTTTGCCCGAAATTAAATTTCATATGAATCAGCCGTTCCTCTCCTCCTATACCACTGCAGTGTTACAGTGACTAGCCCTCTCGTGTCACGAAAAACGCACTGGCAGCATACCTTACCTTTGCACGGGGTTCCTTGAAAAGAGTTATGCGCTTGGCCTTGCGGATGGCATAGGTGGGGCACAAACATCTGGAATGAAAGCGAGGATAGAACTTTTAATATGACATCACCAAATGTATGGTGTTTAGCTTAGTAAAACGAAACTCGTAAGGGCGGATGGAAAGCCTAATGCCAAGATTATATGCGTACAACATTAAAAGAAAACTCATCTTCGCAAATTTTAATTCTGCTAATAGCGTGAGTCTGACCATTAACTAATGGGCACCATCAGGGACCGGGATGATGAAAACATTTATTAACAAACATTCACTGAATCATTTTATTGTAATCGTGGCTTTAAGATGTTGGCTGCGAACAAGATTTCTATTGCGGCCTAGGTCACCGTCGGTTGCTCGCCTCAGTGCAGGGTCCACAGGAGCCTCTATTTCGATAGCACCCTGAAGATGTTCTCGCGCGACTTTGGCGAAGGACAGCGACGCCAGGAAGTCGGCAGCTGGCAGCAGGTTCGTGACTTCTTGGCGAACAACGTCCCGGATGATTTCTGGAAACTCGTCGGTGCCGGTGCTAAACTCAGAGAGGGCCGATGCCAGAGTTAAGATGTCGTTGATCCGATGATGGTGTCGCGCTTGGGCCGTTAGCTCCCACTCGATGTTTGTTGCATCGGCAAACAAACCCATCGACTGTCGTAGGAAGGTCGCGGACGAGGCCGCCGAAGATTTTGCTCTTCACGCCTTTGAACAGAGCACGTAAAAAGTGTTTTCCTCGTTGGCTTGGGGTTTTTCACGGCTACTCAGACAGAAAACATCTTCAGCTAAGTTGTTGGCGCTTTAGTTGTGTGCTTGAGTCCTCGCCTGGAGAAGATCTTCGGCCCGCTGCCTACGATGCCGGTTTATGAAAGTCCACTTCAGCTCAGTAAAGCCGGCGTCCCACGACGTATGCGAAGCCTCATGGTTCTCAAACCAGTGCCTCGCGGTTTTCTCAAGCGACAACTAGAGATTTTGGAGGCGCTGTTCCGTAGTCTATTCGTTATCACGTGACGGGCTGTGCGTTTATACTGCTGAAGCCAGTCCTCCACATTCTCGTGGGCCTCGCCATAGAAAGGTGTCGGATTGCGTAGGGCGACAGGCATAAAGAGGACGGATGAAGCGGTCAATGTCTGCAGCAACTGGATGCTTGTTGCTGGTCTCGTCGACATTTTGGTCTTGACGTTCGCTGGCAGTTGGTCGAACTCTGGGGGCTTGCCTTGAATTTGGCGGTCTGCTTGTATGTCGAGTTCCTCCCCCAAAGATATTATTTCGCTGAGGAGCGGTCTAGCCCTTTAAGCCTGCGCAGGGGTTCGCTGCATGTGTTATACTCAGCGCATTCAACCACGAATCACGAACTCACGAACAGCGAGTTGAATTCATGAGGCGGCGCATGACTGAAAAAATATCAAAACATTTAATGGTGCTAACCGGTACCCAAGACACAAAAGAAGAAGGCTAGCGTCGCGGGCTTTGATGGCGGCGTACAGCAGGGTCGAGACCTGGAGCGAGACTAAATCTTTCGGCGCGGTGAAGCTTGTTTTAAAGGGCAACTCCGGTCAAACGTTCTGAATTTATGATTGCGACGGTTTTAATCTAAAGCAGTGTCTCTAAATTACAAGGCATAACATTTTTCTCGATATTATGTAGTTTTATATATATCACGGCTGAAAGTTTGGTTTTGGAAGTCTACATCAAAACCGAAATTTTCTGTTAGAGGTGTTGCAACACTAATCATCAGCCGTACGGCGTCGATGTGACATCACTGTCCTGCTGCGGTGCGCGGTAAAACTAAACAACCGCGATTCCTAGCTTATATGATGTCACAGTGATACGGCGCCAGTCTTCCTTGAATAAAAGCTCTCCCGCTCGCTACCCGCTTAAGAGCAGCTGGTCACATCGTGAAATTCTATTTTAGTGTAATAAATGGCTTCACTTTGACGTAACTTCTCGGCTGCGATCATAGTTAGTACTACTAAAGCGATACCAATAATTCATTTTGGTTTTGTTTTCAACCGGAGTTGCCCTATCGTCACAAGGAGTTTATAATATACTTCCTCGATTGTTCTCGAACCCTGCATTCTAAACATGAACAACGCAGACGGTTCATCAAGCTTGTTGAATCTTTTACTTTCATAAAAAAATGACAGGCAGTGTCTTGAATCGAACCCGAGCCACGAGCGTGCCAGCCAAGCGCGCTGCCGATTTGGCTACTTAACCACGCGGCCACGCTGTAGTACAACTGAGGGAGACAAACGAAGTTTCAGGGCGCGTGGCACTATTGTCCCCGTTCTTCACCCGCACCATTAGATGGCGCCGACGACATCCGTCTGCTACGCGCGAGGTAAAACACTTAGCAGCTATCAGCGAACCTTGGCACGTGGTGAACTGAACGTGGCAGTTAAATATTGCACATTCAGCAGCGGGGTAAATTACTGGCGTTATATGTAAGGCTATTGAAGGTTCAAATATATGCATAAAGGCTTTCGGCAGGTGTAATATGTAGCGTTCATGCGTATAGCGCGCGCTTTCTTTATTCCTGAAACACAAACAGGTACGTGCTAGGCTGTGGAATGATAACCATTCGAGTGTATCCGCAGCAGGCCCTAAGACTCAAGCGCACTTTAGGCTTTATTAGGCCTAAAATATATATAAGAGTTATGTTATGGGCCTATTCTATTAAAAATAACACTTCCGGCTTCCCGTGTTATGGGACACCCTCAGTGCTTCAAACCGCTTCAGCCTATCAAACCACTCAGCACTACAAATCTCTTCAACTCGTCGGACCATCAAACCTTTCAGTCTGTCACACGCTTCAACCCTGCAGACCCTTTAGCCTTTCAGTCCTCTCAGCCCTTTCAGCCGTTACACACCCAAGTGGCTGTGAACGACAGACTAAAAATGCTGTTTAAGACGGTATTGGAAGTTTAGACATTGAGTTCACATGCATGCTGTAACAGAGAAAGGCGATCAGAACGAACGTTTGCTCGAACCTGGGTGCAAGCAACTGTAGACCAAATAGGAACAACCGAGTCCTTAGTCGCAGAAAAATATATTCCAAGTTACTCAATGCTGCTGGGTAAATTCCTTGAATTTATGGTAGTTCAACTAATGAAATCGAGCAGGTGCTCGATACGGACACACGTACAATATAAGGCGAGAAATCATAAACAAACGCACCTGTATGAGCCACCCTTAACGCCTGTTACTCGCATGACGTGACCTGACGTCCTGGATGTCGTATTGAAGACGTACTTGAGGTCGTCTTAGAGATCGTTCTAGATGTAGTTCTTGACCTAGTACTCTAGGACGTCGTCCTTGAGGTCTTCCCAGACGTCGTTCTTGACGGCGTCCAGTAGGACGTCGTCCTAGACGTTGTCCCTGAGGTCGTTTAGAGGTCGTCCTCGACGTCGCCCTAGACACCGTCTTTGACTTCGTCGTGGACACCATTCTTCAGGTCTTCCCAGATGGCGTTCTTCACGTCGCCTTGACGTCGTCTTCGACGTCGTCCGAGACGCCGTCGTTGATGTCGTTCTCGATACTTGTACGGCATATTACAACGCTCTCATCATCGTACCATTTTCTTTCCTAATTGTTTTCACCAACACTGTTCCTGTAAAGCTACCGCATTTCGTAGCGTTTGGCAGAGTGCTCAAACATGCAGCCAATTTTTTTGTTCTGCTAAGTAGCTAGGGTAGCCCGGGAACGTCGTTGGCACCGCGTATTTTGCCAGAGCGGCTTTCCGCATTGCACTTACGAGAACGTGGCAGTTGTAGAAAGCTTCTCACGTTTTGGTCACAATCTTCGACTCGAAATGCCTCTAGCAGACGAAGTCTGTCGGTTGCAGCAGACGGTCTTTGCGCGCGATGGCGTTATTAATCCTTGAGGCAGTCGTCTTCTTTGTCATGTAGCAGAAAGGGAGAGTTCCTCCGTGCACGTCTCGTATCCTGCGATGTACCCTGGCACAAAACACTTCACACCCATTGTCGGCAAGTTTTGGGAGTCCCGGCTAGAATATACGCCAGAACCACACAAAGCCAATTAAAACCACGCGGCGGACGTAATGTTCATAAAAGGACAGCGCCCTCAGCCTCCCTGCTTGTGCCGCGCCCTGGCAACAGGGGAAAGAGTCGCGTGCGAATTTTCGACACGGTGGCTCTTTGGCGGAGGCACAGCGTTACGCTACCTGAAGTATTTCTATCACCCTGGGCGGAAAGTAGAGAGGCAATCGAAACATTCAGAAGTGAAAAAAGTAAAAGCGTCGTTTGATTTGCGCTGGGCCTCCGTGAGCAATTTGTGAGCACCTGTTCCCCAAACTGCCCGATATGATCAGAGTTTTTCCAAAACGAACTTGTTTCTGACACATGGAAAAGCAATACATGGAGATTTTTTTTTTTAAGTATAAAGTTCCGAAAACACCTTCACAAAAACAAATTAAGATACCAAGAGGAGCGCTCGTAACTGCGCAACGTAATGTCTTACTTCGCCCTTCTTGTTTTCAGCGATTTATACATTTTTTATAAAAAGATCTAATTAGCCCAATTAACGTACCACTTCGTGATCTTAGTGTTTTCGGCTTAACAGAGCGCATTGCTTTGGCTCGAGTCTTTTCGCGGGAGCCTCTCACCAGCCCTGCCTCATCTTTCCTGTTGCGTCAAACGAGAACATAGGTAAAAGACTAAAATGGTAAAACATTTATTTTTTACTTATTTCGTCCTCGTACGCAGGTCAGCTTCGAGTTTTGGACCTAGCTGAAGTGAACCCTAGATTGGGAACCGCCGAGGATGCCGATAGGACCGTCAACTGCGGCGTGGACATCATAACTTCCTTTTTCGGAAGAGAACGAAGAGGAAACCTGCCAGTAATCCTGGATCCCAGCGTTATCAAGAAAAAGGAGGACTGAGAACCCGACCAAGTTGAAACCTTCTAAGAGTTTAATCCGGGATTGTCACATTACCATAAAGAAACATTTGATTGCTGATTCATTATTTGTATTAAACATTGCAATAATGACGAGCCCGTAAGTGAGCAACAAAATCCTACGGCAACCCCTTAAAGGTGACCTCTTTATTTTTTATAGTTGTATTTGAGGCTTCCAAGTAGAGCTGCTTTACATAACAAGGAAAGCTTTTTTTTTTTTTTTTTTTTTTTTTTGTGAGTGTAATGGATGACATCGTGACTACTACGCTTGCTGTCTACCACATCGTTGATGGAAAAGTTTCGATTAAGTTATCGTATCGGGCTGACGTCACCGACATCCGCATCGTCATCATCACTGGTGACGTCATCAGTGACGTCACTAATGACGTCATCAGTGACGTCACTAATGACGTCATCAGTATCCGCATCATCATCGTCACTGATGACGTCAACAGTGGCGTCACTGATGACATCATCGGCATTGTCATCGTCACGTGACCCACCAAGGTCATGTGACCCCTCCTCCGGTCAGTTGACACCCCCCAGTACCCTTCCCTCCTCCTCCTCAAGAGCTGCGCTGATTCGGCGTTACAGGGAGTTGTAAACGGCTTTCACTTTTTCATTGATCACATATTTAAAAAAAAAACACAGTAAGGATACATGTTACTGAGAAGGTTTTGTAACCTTGGTTGATATGATAAGGTTCAAAAATATTATTTCTTTATTACTGGGCCCACACGCGTGTTTCAAACAAACAAGACAGCAGTTTTTTGTTAACAAATTCCTGGTCTTAATAAGGTGGGGCAAACGGTCATATATGTGTCAGGAGAAGGAGATTGCAACTTAATCTAAAAAATATTTGCAGAGGACAATGTCAGACACAAAAAAAATTAATAGTCGGCGTGGAAGTTCAACTGCACTATAAAAGCATATCGGAATGAAGGAGACATCCCACAGAAATATCCGTGGTTAACGGCGTCAAAGAGTGTGTCGCCGCCGTAGCATCAAGCTTTGTTCTAATCGGCACAAGTCCGGTTCGGGGCGTCTTAAGGCGCAGTAGAACTTGCAAATTAATTTGATTCCGCGTCATTCTCCTTTAACCCGCGACCACGGCTCCCATCCTGTCCGGTATAAAATCATGAGCGCAGCCACGAAGTCTGGCTCAGCCCGATGCCACACCCATTCACCTCCGATTGCTTTCCACGATTTGTGGGCAGTGGCGCGGTGGAGAGACGCCATGCCATGGCTACCTTGATGCACCTCCAAATGTTTTTGATCATATTTAGATCGGCTCCTTTTGGAGGCCAAGGCAGCTTCGTCAGGCAGCGCTTCTCGAGGAGATACGAGAGTGACAGCGCATTTTTCACTTCGTCGCTTTCGTGAAATGCACTGAAAGGCATGTTAGCTGAAAGCGTGACCATTGGGCTACACGGCACACGCACCGTGATGGTGGTTACGTGGGCCACTATTTTCGTTAGCAGACGACCGGAAGAGCGCAGCGGCGCAGTGAGCGAAAGTGAGAATTTATCTCGGTCTCAGGGTGCGCCGTGTTTAGGGAGCGATGCGACAGGCGGCGCAGGTAGTGTCGTGCACAAGCGGGAGCGCCGTTTCAGCCCACATTGTCCGCGATAGTACACCTGAGTGACTGAAAATCGACACGAACGATCAAAAAACGTATAGCATGCTTTTCTTGAAGAGTCATGGAGCCCTCTTGTAACATTTCAGGGAGAATTACAATGACTTTCTGCTAAAAAAAAAAATAGAAACTAACGGAGTTGATGCTAGAGCTGCGACCAGTTGGCCTCGTATTAGAGTGCTGCGTACGGTAAAAAAAATTGATTTTTTTCTTTCAAGGTACTAGGATTAGAAATAAAACCTGTGCGCAAGAAAGGAACTTAATTTCTCACAAGTTGCCCTGCTTTTACAAATCAGGTTTTGTGGAAGCCTACCCTGTGTATTATTTGTCTCCGAGGTACCTCAGACACGACATTTGACGATTTTTTGAAACAATGGCAAAAACATTGGTTTCTGCCACTGCGGCTTTTACGCTTCGTAAATGAAGAACAAAAAACTTGGGGAACATGCGGTTTGCGCCCTCCTTCATTTTAGAAATGCCCCCAAAACACATAATTTTTTCGTGAAAATTAAAAATTAGACCACTTTAGTCTGCCCGATTTGAGATGAAACCTCCCATATCGGGCAGGCTGAAAGGGTCTAATTTTTAATTTTCATGAAAAAAATATTTATGGTTTTGGGGGCATTTCTCAAATGAAGGAGGGCGCAAACCGCATATTCCCCAGACTTTCTGTTCTCGAGTTACGAAGCGTAGAAGCCGCAGATGTAGAAGCTAGTGCTTTTGCCTGCGAGCGAGCGAGGCCTTGAGTTCTCGGTGTAGCCTTTCGACCATGCCGTTGGCAAACGGATAGTAGGCTGTCGTGTGGATGCGGCACATTCCAAGCATTTTTGCCAGTTTTGCGAAGAATGAGCTTTGGAATTGCCTGCCACGGTCCGTGGTGACAATGGAAGGGCAGCATTACCGTGCAATCCAGTTGGTGATGAACTCTTGTGCCACGGTTTGTGCGGTGATGTCCGTAATTGGGATCGCTTTCGGCCATCTGGTAAAGCGATCCACGCATGCAAGTATATATCAGAACCCTTGGGATGGTGGGAGGGGTCGGACAATATCAATATGGACATGGCCGAAGCGGGCGTCTGGTGGTTTGAAAACATGTAGCGGGCTCTTTTTATGACGCTGAACCTTGGAGCGTCGGCAAGAGGTGCAAGACCGCGTCCAGAGGCGAATGTCTCGGTTGATGTTGGGCCAGACATATCTCGAGCACATGAGTCGTTGGCTTGCTCGAATCCCAGGATGACTGAAGTCATGGGGTAAGTGAAAGTTGGGACGTCGAAAAACGGCGGGATGTACGGTTGGGGCGTACCCGTTGAGGTATCGCATACCACCTCGCAATTTGCAAGTGGTAGTGGTACAGGTTGAAGCTGCAGTAAGGTGGAGGACTCTTGGAGTCTCTGCAACTTGGCGTCATTCTTTTGGGCTGTTGCCAGTTTGGAGAAGTCGAGGTCAGGTGACGCACTGAGTGTCTCGACGCATGACAGGGCGTCTGCCGCTTCATTGTTCGCTCCAGATACGTGGCGCAGATCAATCAGTTGCATATTCTGAAATATAAGCGAGGTGACGAATCTCTCGGGTCGAAAACGAGGTTTGATTAGCGTGGAAGGCGAAGGTCGTGGTCTGTAAGGACATGAAAAACCCGGCCTTGCAGAAAATGTCCGTAATGCCGTATTGCCGTAGATGGCAAAGAGATAATGGCGTAGGTGGCAAAGAGTTCGGGACCAAACGTGCTGTAACGTGTCTCTGCCGGCTTCAAGTTCTGTGAGAAGAGGCCTAGTGGAAACCAGTCCGTCTGGTTGCACTGTTGTAGCATGGCTCCCACTGCGACATCCGAAGCGTCGGCCATAAGTCTCGTTGGTGCTTTTGTCGGGGGTAAACGAGAAGTGCCGTGTCGACATCAGCCTGCTTTGCAGTCTTGAACGACTTCTCGATCTGCAACCGAATTCTATTCGACCGGTGATGTGGGACCTTTTGCCGAAGCGCAGCAGATCTGTTAAGGGCTCGAGAATTTGGGCGCAGTTGTTAATGAAGCGTCGACGGAAGTTGACGAGGACCAAGAATTCTCGCTACTTACGAAGTGACTTGGGTTGCGGAAAGTCCCTGATGGCTTCCATTTTCGAAGGTAAAAGGTGAATGCCTCCGGGTGTCACTCAGTGTCCTAAGAACTTCAGGTCGGACGTTCCGAAGACACATTTTGCTGCGTTGACGACGAGACGATAGTTGCGTAGCTGCCCGAAGAGTAAGCGCAGTTGTTGTCCGTGCTCTTCCGGGGAACTGCTCGCTATGAGGAGGTCGTCAACGTATGCAAACACGAAGGGTAGCCCGCGTGTCACTTTGTCTAGACATCGTTGAAATGTTTGTGCAGAACTTCGAAGCCCGACGGGCATTCGCACGAACTCGAATAATTCGAACGGCGTGGTGACAGCAGTTTTCGGAATGTCAGCTGGCTCGATAGATATGTGGGGGTAAGCTTTTACTAAGTCCACCTTGCTGTAAATGCAGGTTCCGTTGAGTTGCTCCGTGAAGTCATGCAGGTGTGGTAGAGGGTAACGATCTGCCAAAGTGTTGGCGTTGAAGGCGCGATAATCGCCGCAGGGCCTCCAGTCTCCCGGCTCCTTCTTGGGCACCATGTGTAGAGGTGATGCCTAGCAGCTGTTCGACGGCCGAATGATTCCGAGCTCGAGAATATGCTCGACTTCCCGTCGAGCCGTTTGGAGTCGTCCACCGGAGAGGCGACGAGGTCGTGCGTATACAGCCGGACCAGAGATGATGCATGATGGTGTGAGTCACACCATGAGTGGTCGGTTGTGTCATGTTGGACTTCAGGAAACTCGGTAGGTATTGATGCGAATCCCGTAGATGGTAAGATTTGGCGTATGGCAAGGGATGAAACGGTTGCAAGCATACCATCTACAGTCAGACGTGTCGTACCGTCGAGAAGACAACGGTGGCGCATGCTGACATCTATGTTAAATTTGGACAAAAATCAGATCCTAAGATGGAACACTTGACGTCAGCGATGATGAATAGCCATCTGAAAATTCGGCGTAATCCTAGATCTAGAGTCATTGATTGCATACCGAAGGCGGGTATGAGAGATCCATTTGCTGCGATTAGGTTTCTGCCTTTATCCGGGTGTCTTCTTTCTGCTGCTGTGGGTGGGATGACGGACACTTCGGCGCCGGGTTCGACAAGAAGTCTGCAGCCGGTGAACCGATCAGTAATGTTGAAAAGGCGGAATGCTGGTCGTCAGGAGTGCCTTACCGCCTTTAGTGACTGGCCGGGGTGTTTTCCTGCCAGACACAAAGGGGATGACGGTTAAGGGCTCGCTCTCCGTACTTTCGGTGGTACCA